GTCGTATTATGCAATAGAGGAAATTCGTATAGATCCCAAGAGCGAAAACTCATATTCACGTATCGTCCGCTTTCCAACGCGCGTAGCAAGGATAGTTTATTGACCACGGTCAATATTACATGAGGTATACGCCATTGTATCTTGAATAATTCGATATCAGCTTCAGTCGAAGCATTTCCAAATATGCAATTGTTGTCGTTGCGCGAACGTATCAGAATTAATTCGTGACGAGCGTTGATCACAACTCGCTTATAATCTTCGCAAAAACCCAATAGTATGTTTAGCGGCACGCAAAAATTGAAGTAAGCTTCAGCAGCATTATGCGACATATTCCACGCAGCATTCTCCAAGATTTTACCTTTCTCGGTTGTTAGAGAGACATAGTTTTTAATCGTGGAAGTTATTCCAACGTTTCTGTTGCGGTCAATCTCCCCACCGTCTAGTTCATATCGAAGTTCATCAAACATAAATGCGACACAATTGTTTCCCAATACCACTCTTGCCCCTTCATCTACTTTACGCACCCTCAACTTTCCCCCGACGTATAGAAAACTTTCATGGTAACGTGTACAAATCTTGATGTTGTATCGGTATCCGTATCTCGTCGCTATATCCAAGCGTTGTGTTGGCGTATGGATTGTACGTATGAGTCTCAATCTTGACGATACGATCGTCAAAGATCGGCTCGCTTCCGATATTCAAGATGTCAATCATATTGTTCAAGTATTTCGTACGACGAATCCCAATGATTTTAAAAACTCGCGATTCAACGCGCTGAGCTTCTTTTTAGCGTAACCAGATATCTGATTATTGTCACCCGATACCGCAGTCACTCGCCTTCTCGCAAAAATATTGTCCCTCGTAAAGATATTGTCTCTCGCGTGCTCCGTGCTTTCGTTCAACACAAGCATTTCATTTGTCAAACGCTTTATTTTTGCCGCCGCCGTATATGTAATCTTACGGTAATTTCCTCTCCTCGAAAATTGAGCAAATGTCCTTCTTGATCTACAATGCGTATCGTTAAATCAGTAATGCTTCGTGCGACGATCGGTAGATAAATGATCTGTGCTGGCGTTTCCGATATCTTATATCCTGGCGGTACGCTCGGTGAAAATTCATGTATCGTGTGTATGCGCTTGTCATTGCTGTACGCGCCAGTGGTTACGCTTCATTCTATACGAATAATATTTACGCTTATAATATTTATCGGTACATCCGATTCGTGCCATTTCCGAGGCTGTAATATACGATTCGACGAGAATCCCAACAACGATCCAACGTTGCCCGGTTTGCTAAAATTAATTCTATAGACACATTTGATTTCACTCTTAAGCGTATTATGATTAGCGCGAAGCATTATTGGATATTCATCGTGTTCTTCACCATCAACAATATAGTTGGAATCAACTACGCGTCGATGTTGTAAAATTGCACGTCGGAGATATTCGTTTATAGCGAGTAACTCGTACGATCCCTCGGGAATCGTAATTTCCTTATCGTCGTTATCAAAATAAAATTTATTATTCCAAGAATTCACGTTCGATATCGTATGATAAGTTTCAAAGTCCGTTAAACCAAGCTCGTAATCGCCATCGTTTAAATCTATAGC